CCCCCCCCCACAGACCCCATGGAGCCCCCCCAGCCCCGCTGCCCCGATGGCGACCGCCGCCGGAAGCGCCGTGAGTTGGACGCCCGCCGCAGCAAATGCCGCATCCGCCTGGGGGGGCACCTGGAGCAGTGGTGCCGCCTGAAGGAGCAGCTGGGCTTCGCCCTGCATTCCCAATTGGCCAAATTCCTCCTCGACAGGTCCATAACCCCCCCCCTAAAATCCCTACATACCTTCGGGATCGGGCTCGGAGATGCGCTGGGGGCTCACGGCTCTTCCCTTTGCAGGTACAGCTCGCAGGGCTGCGTTGTGAGCGCAGGTAGGACCCCACATCGGCGCTGGGTTTCGTGGTCTTTAAGCCAAAACCCTCCTGCAGCGAAGGCTCCCATCGTAGGATGTGCTTTGGGGTCAGACACGGCGTGGCAGCCCATAGGGAGAGTTGTTCCATGGCCACGGGGGTTGGTTGGGGTCATTGGTTGGTTGAGGACGTTGGGTGGTTGGGGTCCCCCTGGCTGCTTTTTGGGGCCAAGGTGTGTTTTGGGGTGTTTTTACCCAAAACTTATTTATGGTGAAGATGCCTTTGGAGGAGGAGATGCAGTTGGGTGGGGGTAGGCAAAGAGATTCACCCCACATGTCCCATCCCACAGGGAGAGCTGCTCCATGGCCACGTGTTGGTTGGTTGGGGACATCGATCTCCATCAATGCTTCACGGAGCCAAAAATCAGAATTTCGCAGCCACTTTTCACCCAATTCCTCATTTTCCTCCCCAAACCCAGCAGCACCCCATCCCACAGACCCCAACCTTCTCCACGCCGACGCCGATGCCCTGCAGCGTTTGGTCGCGTTGTCCCATGGCCACAGCAGGGAGTGCGGATTCGTCCCCGACGTGAAGCCCCCAGCCCCAGGCAGCCCAGCCCCGCTGGTGTGGGAGTGTGTGGCCGGACACAGCTTCTCCTGGGGCGTCCCCAGCGCAGGCGATGCCCCACAGAGGTGTGATGGAGCCGGGGGGGGCTCAGAGCGGGGGTCCCCAGCGGTCCCCGTCCGTCGGAGGTCGCTGCGGAGGTCGGGGGTTGTGGTTGAGCCCATGGTGGAAGAACCCAACGCCGTGAAGGATGATGGAGTTTGGTCACCTGGTGGTGGTGGAGATGGTGGTGGTGATGGAGGTGAGTTGGGTTGGATAGGGTCATAGAATATCCCAGGTCCCATAACAATCATCAGGTCCAGTTCTGCCCCAGTATCACCAGCTCCATCCCATGGAGGTGAGTTTGGGTTGGATAGGATCATAGAATATCCCAGGTCCCATAGGGATCATTGGGTCCAGCTCCATCCCATAGAGGTGAGTTTGGGTTGGGTGGCATTCCCCATCATCATAGAACATCCCAGGTCCTGTAAGGGTCATTGTGTTCAAATCCATCCCAGTGGACACCAAAACAAATCCACAAGCCAACACAGCTCCATCCCAGTAGATACTGTATCCCATCTTCCTCTTCCTCTACATCTCCAGCACCTCAGCCTTACTCACCACCACTCTGTCTCCCTTCAGCTCCCCAGGGGCAGACAGAAGCAGAAATGGCAGCACCGGATCAGGAGAGGTGAGTGATGGCCCCAAAGTGGGATCTCCTGAGCTTGAAGTTCCATCTGGACCCATTTGGTTCCATGAAGGCTTTGTCCCCGTGCCATCCTGCAGCACAGTGCTGCTGCTGAATGAAGTTTCCCCAATAAAATCCCCTCTGGGTCATTTGGGCAGAGCTGACTCTGAGCACTGCATTCCAGCAGCACACCCGGGCTGGAGGAGAAAGCAGACCAACATGCTGTGCCCCAGGAAGAGGAGGAGGAGGAAGATGAGGACTTTGCCGAGGAAGATGACCTTGCCTACAACGATGATTTGCGTGATGAGAATTACCACCCATCTCAGGACAGGTGAGAAGTGCTGAGAGGTGCCCCAGCAGCATCCAGCCACGTCCCACAGGGTCAGCAATGCCCAATGGGGTCAACCACATCCCACGGGGTTCAACCATGTCCCACAGCATCCAACCATGGCCAATAGGGTCAACCGTGGCCAACAGGATCAACCACATCCCACGGGATCCAACCAAACCCAACAGGGACAGCGATGCCCAATGGCATCAACCACATCCAGTGGGCTCAACCATGCCCAACCAGATCCAACCACGTCCAAACGGGGTCAACCCCATTCAAACAGAGACGACCACGTCCTTTGACTCCCAGCTGTGCTCAACCCATTCAGTCTGCCCCATATCTTGTATTCTCCCCCAGCGACTCCGAGCCGCAGCGACGACAAAGCCAGCCCCACGCCCGTAAGAAACCCGTGAAGGAGGAGCAGATCCCAAATGAGCAGAACCCGATCAACTCCAGCTCAGCAGAAGAGAAGGGTGGGCAAGTCAGGTGAGCAGGGAAGGCCACAGTGGTGAGGTGAGGCTGGGGAAAGGGGTATTTGGGACACACTGGACATGCTGCTGCTTTGTGGGCACAAGGAAACCATCCCAAAACTTGCAAGAGAGTAACAAGGTTCAACCCCGAGCTCTGGCAGGGTGAGAGAGCCACGTGTTTGCAAAGGGAGGTGACAAAGTGCATGGTGGGGAGATGGAATTGGGGTTTAGTGCTCTGTCACCTGTGCTGGAGCTTGAGAAGGGTTGGTCTCACCTGGGGGCAGCCATCCTCAGCATCCCCCTGGCACTATGCATGTGCTGCTGCTGCTTTGGGTGCTTCAGCCCACGGCACGGAGCTGCTCCCAACCACAGGGGAGGGATGTGCTGAGCCCAGAGAGGGAGAAGGACCTCCAGCACCACCTCTGCTGTTGGTCAGGCAGGTGGCAAAGGACTTCTTCCACCTGCAAGCAGCAACAAAAATCCACATGCAAATCCCTTTCCCATGCACGGGGAATACGGCTCTGCGCAGCCCCGAATTCCATGTTTTGTGCCCTCTGTGCACGGGGCAGCATCACTCAGTTGTGTCACCCCCATGTGGCTGTGCTGCTCAGCTGTGTCACCGTGAACCCATCAGAGCCAACTGCAGCACTGGCCAAAGGGCAGTCTGGAACACAAGTGCTGTTCACCGCTGTTTGGGGCTGAGTTTTTTCACCACTCCTTCCCAACCACGTGGGCTCAAAGTTTGCTCTTCTGCTGTAGAGAAGATGGGAAGCTCAAGCGATCGCTCTGTAGGCAAGAACACAAAATCCACATGGCTGCTCTTCGTGCCACACCAATGGAACGGTCCCACGCTTCACTTCTTGGGTCTGACACACACAGCCATCACCTTTCTGGGTTTTAATACAAAAGGCATTAAAACAAAAAAAGAACTAATTTTTGCTTGGAGTTAGCTGCACTGATCGTTACGGGATCACGCCTTCGTTTGCCACTGAGAGAAGAGACAGGTGAGTGCTGCCCACCTCCACCACGGCTCCTTCAGCTGCTTCCCACTTTGCTGTGGCCCTCAGCCATCCCATCTCTTGCAGGTGCCCCAACACTGCTGAGAGGAGAAGACGCCTTCCCAAAAAGTCACTCCCAGTGGAAGTGAATGGTAAATCCATTATCGCTTTCTTCCCCTCCCTGTCCATTCTCGGGGGGGTCACACAGCACTGGAATTCAGTGTGGGGGTAGAAAGGTTTGGTTTAGGTCCAGGTGGTCTCTGCTGACAGCAGAAGTGAAAAGAAAGGGATTATTTCCATACCTTTGGGACCTCAGATGTGGCCAATAAAGCAGGCAGTGCCTTTCTGTGCCACCCGGGTGGTGTGGGAGCGAACCTTAGGCTTAAAGGATGAGTTCAATTACAGATGTCACAATGCACTGCTCACCCAACCTCCATTTCTTGCTCCATAACTGCATCCCCTGTGATTTAATGTATCCATCTCTGATTGCAGGGCAGAAATTCCCACAATGAGAAAACCCACAGAGCAGAACGATACGGATGGGAACAAACACCCGGGGACGGCGACTGGAACCTGAAGTGTACTACAAAACCACGTTAAAGACTTTGTAATGAGTAATAAAGGATCTGTTTCTGCTCGTAGTTGTCTGAAAGATGCGTTTGTTCACAGCACTGCATTCCAGTGTGATGAGGGAAATGATAATCAAGCACATTTGAAAAGGAATGGTTGAAGGATGGTTTGGTTGCATTGCTCTTTTTGGGAGCCAACACCTGTGGCTGCCATCCAACATCCTGGACCCTGTAACACATCCTGAAAGCATCCCAGACCCAAAGATGAACCACCCTGGACCCTACAACACATCCAGGCTTTGTGCTCGAAGCAAGGAGAGGGGGCGAACCCAGCACAAAACCTTTCTTTCCTATTGCAGCTGCAAGCAGCCAACGCAGCCGTGCGATGAGGACGTGGCCCAGATCGGCCCCAAAAGAATCAGGTAAAGAAAACCTCCCTGTGTTTCCTTACGTTGAACTTTTGATGGATGGAATGGATGGGGAAGGAGGCATGGAGCTCCCTCCTTTCCAACCTGTTGCTTTCTCTGCTCTCTGCTCACCCCAACGTCCCATTCTCTCTTGCAGGAAAGCAGCGAAACGCGAAATCCTCCTCTGCGACTTCGAGGGCTGCGGGAAGATCTTCTCCAACAGGCAGTATCTGAATGTGAGGGCGGTGGTGGGGTGGGGGCTGTGGAGCCAGGACCCCCTTTCTGTGCACACCAGGTTAAGCTGAGGTTTAGGGATCCCTCCCACTCTGTTGTGGCCACCAAAGTTCTGAACTGGAGTAGAACTGGATCCTCTCTCTGAGCACAGTGCTGTTCCTTTGGGATTTGGCCAACCATCACATTTCCGATGGAGCTGTTTGCTTGGCTCAGCCATGGGGTCACTTCAAATCCCAACTTTGGGTCGAAGGAGCAAAGCAGAGGGGTGCTGAGATGGAGGAGCCAACAGGGCTTCCACTCAGCAAAATCTGCAGCCTTCACTCCTCTCTTTTCTCCCCAAAACCACAGCACCACAAGAAGTACCAACACGTCCACCAGAAGACCTTCACCTGCTCGGAGCCCAGCTGTGGCAAATCCTTCAACTTCAAGAAACACCTCAAGGAACACGAGAAGCTGCACAGTGGTGAGCCAGCAGCATGCAGGAGGTCCCACCTCTCCTGTTTGCTCCTTTTTCCTGACCTGGGCATCATGCAGACATTGGCCATGTCAGTTTCTTTCCAATCTGTCTGCCTCTCATTCATCTGTGCCTGTGCAGTCTGGCCCCTAAAACACATCCTGAAGGCATCCTGCCCACTAAAACAATGAGTTCTAGATCCTGAAACATCATGAAAGCATCCTGGTCCCTAAAATCAAGAGTCCCAGCCCCTAAAATATATCCTGAAAGCATCCTGGCCCTACACCTAAGAGTTCTGTACCCTGAAACACAGCTTGGAAGCATCCTGGCTGCTCAACCCCCACCCCATTTTTCCTCTGCCCCACAGACAAACGAGACTACATCTGTGAGTTCTGCGCCCGCTCCTTCCGTACCAGCAGCAACCTGATCATCCACAGACGCATCCACACGGGAGAGAAACCCCTCCAGTGAGTGCTGCCCCCCCTCAGCAGGGGGATGCTCTCCTCCATCCCCATCCCAACCCTGCTCTCCCCCAGATGCGAGATCTGCGGCTTCACCTGCCGCCAGAAAGCCTCCCTCAACTGGCACATGAAGAAGCACGACGCCGACGCCTTCTATCAGTTCTCCTGTGATCTCTGTGGCAAAAAGTTTGAGAAGAAGGACAACGTCACTGCCCATAAGAGCAAAAGCCACCCCGACGCGCCCGGCGCAGCCCCCCAGGCTGTGCCATCCCCCCCCCCAGCCATGGGGACGCAAGCTGAGCTTCCGAGGGGGGATGCTCCAAGTGGAGAGGAGAAAGGTGATGGGCACGCACCTCCTGCTGCAGCTCTGGCTGAGTAATACGGAATTTGGGGCAGAATCTGGTGCTGTTGGGTGCTAACGTTGCTGTCAGAGCAGTGGAAGGAGGGAGCACACCTTCCTGTGCGCCTCCATCGTCCTGGAGCAGGCAGCAGGATCCACAATAAAGGGTGTTTTTGTATAAAAGCACGTTCCTCGCTTCCTGAAGGGCTTCGTGGAAAGCAGATGGGTTAAATTCCCACTGTGCCCAAAGATTTACTGAGGGCAGGAATGAAAGGCATTGTTAAAATGAATGGGGTGGATGGGGTTCAGCCGTAACTCAGGGCTGCTTTCACAGCCCTTATTAACAGTGACTAATTACAAGCTCTACCCCGAGCCTGAGCCCCGCAGACCCTCCTCCCCACCCTCCAGCTCCTCCTTACAGAAATAAGCACAGTATTTGTTACCCTGGAAGATCCCCAGCCTGATGAGATGGGAGAAGATGGATTTGGGGAGGGCGGCACTTTGGGCCCGATCTGCTGCTGGGGATGCAGATATCAGTGGAGCACCCATGGGGTGGGACCCCCACCCACACACCCACCCAACCCAGCACAGCCCTGAGGATGAAGAGCATCGCAGGAGTCGCTGTGGATTCCTTTTTTTTTTTTTTTTTCTTTTTGCACTGCAACTTTTATTTCCCCACTAAACAGAGTTAACAGTAAAGAGACACAACAGCACGGCGGGGTCACACGAGGGTGGGTTGCAAGCACACGCGAGCTCACACCTAAACCAGTGCTCCCCCTCCCCTGCAATGAGGGGATTAAGGCCCACCAGGGACACCCCCAGCCAGGTGATGGCATGGAACGCCAGGCCTGCCTCCATCACAGCCTACCAATTGCTCAGCACTAAGAGGAGGGGGAAGACTGCAGAGATTTGCTCTCTGGGCGGAGCAAAATGCGGGCACGGCCCCTTCCTGGGGGAGGGAAAGCAAGGATGGGGGCAAGGGGATGCTAAAAATGCAGAGCAGTGGTGTGATGGGGGCTGGGTATGGCACCTCTCCTCCTCACGTGGGTTTTCTCACCTGCACAGAGCAGGTGGCTTTGCTATGGAGCAAGGAACCCCAAACGTGGCTCTGCTCCCTGCTTTGCAGCCGACTTTGGAAGTACAAAAAGAGAGGGGTTTGCTGGGACAGGGGGTCAAGGAGGGGAACCAACCCTATTTTGGGGGTAACTCAAGCAGCCAGGTCCATCACACCCACAATGGCTGACTCCCCACAAGACTGTTTTTGGGTTAAAAGACGCAAACTTCAAGAAGTAAGAACAAAAAAACCCAAACCCTACAGCTGGAGGAGAACCACGGGCTGCTGGGAAGCCAAGGACACAGGAGTGGGATGGGGCACTACCGGCGGGTCAGCTCGGGGAGGGGGCACAGAACCAGCCAGGTCAATTGCACAGGGAGAGCGAGGAGCCCACGTAGAAGAGCCAGAAGAAAGGGAAAATCTTTTCGGTAAAGGCGGCCGTGAAGGTGAAGATGGGAGCCATGTTATCGGCGTTGTAAAAGGCCACCCACCCCCCCTCGTAGTCCAGGTACACCCCGATCTTCCGGGGTCTCTCACACAGGGACAGGGGTGTCTCGGGGGAGGTGAAAGCCTGGTACTGATCCCAATTCTTCCCCTTCCAGTTCAGCCCCACGGCCCAGATCCCCTCCTCAGGGGCAAAATCGATCTTTTCCTTCCTCCGCACCGACTCCCGCGCCGCCCCCAGCACCCAGCTCTCCCCATCGCCCACCTCCACCTCCCAGTAGTGCCTCCCTGCCATGAAACCCTCAGCTGCCAGCACGCAGAAGGAGTAATCGAATCTCTTGGGGTTGGCAGGAAGCTCCTGGGGGGCACTTCGCAGCCGCACGCTCCTCTTGTCCTCAGACAGCACCAGGTAGGGGTTGGCCGTGTCCGGGTCCAGGGACAGATCTCCTAAAGAGGGGACAGAGAGATCAGTGCCCTAACACATCCCTCTCTATGCTGCCCCTTCATTTTAGGAGCCAGGATGCTCTCAGGATGTGTTTTAGGAACCAGAATTCTTTGCTTTAGGGTCCGTGTTGCACAGAAACAGATGAATGGGAGACGGACAGACCTCCAAATTGGAAAGAAATTGGCGTGGTGGTGTCTGCAAGGTGACCAGGTCAGGAGGAGGGAGCAAACTAGAGATGAGAGGACCCAACAAGGGGATGGATGTGGACAAATGTTGGGATTTTCAATGCTCTGTGAACAAAAGAGCCACGTGGGGGCCAGAACTGGGCTCCTCTCTAATTTAGAGCAGAAGAACTCGGGCGTGCCAGCCCAACCCCTGCTGCTGTCCCACTGGTCTTGCCCGAGATGTCTCCCAGAATAGAAATTTCTGCATAGAAGTGACATTTTTAGCCACTGCTGAGCACCAAGAGAGGGAGGAGTGTAAATATCTTTGGGTTTGAAGGCTGCTCCCACCTTCCAGGGGACCAGGAGGAAATGAGGGCTGTCAGGGCTGCAACCAAACACAGAATGGGAACAGCAGAGTGCTGAAGGTCCGCTCAACCCTGCAGCTCCTGGCACCCAGATCAGTGCCTTCTGTGGGCTCTGCCAACAGCTGCCTCGATTCTTTGCTTCCTCTTTCCTCCTCTCCTGACCCCTGAGGACAAAATGATGTCCCACCCCCATCACATTATCCCCAGTAAGAGGAAACTCTGGGTTTAGAAGTGGAAAAGCAAAGGTCAACCCCATGCAAAAAACCAACAGCCCTCACCTGTATCGTTCTCCAACTCAAACCGAAGGTTCTCTGTAGGAATAAAAAAGAGGAATTCAGCTTCCTGTGCACCTCAACAAGAGGAGTTCAGCTCCCTGTGCACCCCAACAGGGGGAGTTTCCAGCACTCACCCTTGAACTCCAGCAGCACTTCTTTCAGCACGGCGCTCTTTTGGGAGAAGCTCTTCAGTTTCTTCTCCAGCTCGGCAAAGCCGGGCTCCGGCTTGCAGAACATCCAGCTCTCAAAGCTGGGGAGGAAAAAGCAGCATTAGGATCGTCCCCTGGAACAAAACCAGCATACAGGGAAGGAATCTGCCCCGCTCTGGGGCTGACTATTCCCCTCTGTTTGTTTCCCCCTCCAGGCCAAGCCTCCCAGCGAACCCAGCACAGACCCAGCTTGCTCACCTGCTTCCAGCCGTGGTGACAGCCTGCAGAGAGGAAAAGCAGCATCTGTTAGTCCCCAAATCTCCAAAATCCTCCCCAAAACTACTTATGGAGCAGCTCTCAGCAGCTGTTTCAAGAATCGGGAGCAATGCACTCATGGCAGAAACAGAATTCTGGCTTTAAGAGAAATATTTGGGATGTTTCCTTTGAGGTTTCTCAGTGCTGGCACCCACAGGGGACAAATGAGCTCTGCTGCTCAGGGTGCATTTTATTCCCAAAGCTGCACCAAACTTTGGGGGAAAAGATAAAGCCAGCAGCCTGCAGATCCCACTCCTGATGTGGAGTCAATGGATCCCAGCACCCCAGGAGGAACCATCAGCCCACCCACTGCTGGAAGCAGAACAGAAGGACACAGCCCCATTCTCACCGTGTTCCCAGGGCCGTTCTCTGCCCCGTGCTCCCCCAGCAGCTTGTCCAGCTGGGCAATCTCCTCCGATAGCCTCGAAACGCTCTCATCTCTCCTCTTCACGATGTCCCTGTCCAGTTCCTCCAGACGGGACAGCAGGAGCTGCTCCTTCTCCTCCAGGAAACCCCGCAGCTCTTTGCACTCAGCCACGATTTTCTGCCTCTCCACTTCGGTCTGCTTCTGCCAAAGCCAAAGGGGAGAGCGGTGTGAGATCGGCGCTCCCGTGGCTGGGGAGGCTTCAGGGCAGAGCTGGAAGGTGTACAAGGGAAGCCCCCCCTTCCCCTGCACTCACCAGCAGGTCCTCACTCTGCCTCTCCCTCTCAGCTTTTGCTTCTTCTCGTCCTTTCCGCAGGGAGCTCAGGTGCTCCTGAGGCACCTCCTGGAAGCAGAAGGCATTTGGTAGGAATTACTTAGGATCAGGAATGCAGAAGGAAGGGGTGGTGGGGGATGACCTCCAAAAACAGATAAATATCAATCGTGCAGCAAACAGCCACCATTAACCCAAAGTGGGTGCAGAACACTGAGCCCTGCCTCACTGTTATCCCCAACCCCCACTTTTGGGAATAAAAGGAAAACCAGAAGCAAAAACCATCCCTAAAGCTGAGCAGCTGGGGGCTGGGCGTAGAAAAAAAGGGAAACAAAGAGGGAATAAAAAATAGAGTCAGTCTGAATTCCCTGCAACAGCACAGCTGTGAATGCAAGGCAAGTCCCACCCCTGCACAAACCATTTGGGATCAGCTTTCAGCTCCCGGCCCCAGAAGGGGCTGCACAGAGACACCACAATAAGTTCGTTAAGGGCTTAATGCAATTAAACCACAGCGCCCAGCCTCATTTAAGTCACCCAGGCTCAGATGAGGGAGCTGCCAGCAATGCTGCACAAAGGCAAAGGGGTTTCTGGGGGATGCCACAGCCAATCTTGTAAGGAAACCCAAAGTTTTTATTCTGGACCCAAACACAGAGCCCCCACCCCATCATGTGGGGACATTTCTACGTGGGGAGATGAGGATTTTGGAGTGCCTGGAGCTATTTTACACCTGCACAAAGATGAGGGTGAGTGGGTCCTCAACCTTCGTTGGAGTGTGGGGCTCCAACACTGCACTCCCACCCCTTATGGCAACATTGCTGGGGGTGGGGGGCTCCCATAATGCACCCCCACCCCATACTGCACCCAAACAAGGGGGTCCTTCCCTCCATCGAGGTGGGGGCTGCTCCCCTACTGCACTCCCACCCCCTTCTGCAACTTCACTGGGATGGGGGGAGCTCCCTCCTCCACACCCCACAACCCCACCACCACAGAACCCCACTTATGTCCTACAGTTGGACCCCTCAATGCACCACTCCCCCTTATACCCCCCCAAAACCCCGTTGGGGGGTCCCTACATCCCCATCCACATATTCCCATCATCTCCCCAATGCAACAAACCCCCCCTAAGCCCCGCAAAACCCTAAGGGGGGATCCCTAAACCCCATACATGTGTTGCCAGTGTACCCCCAATGCACCACTCCCCTTTATCCCTCCAAAACCCAAAGGGAGGGCTTTCCCTACATCCACATCCACGTATTCCCAGTGTCCCCATAATGCAACACACCCCCCAACCCCCCCAAAACACAAGGAGGGGTCCCTACAGCCCCATCCATGTAATTCCTGGTGTCCTCCCAAAGCAACACACCCCCCTTATACCCTC